GAGCGGCGAGCGGAGGCCGAGCGCGCCCCTTCCCGTCGCGCGATGCTGCCCTGGACGGCGCTCAGCCTGGCCCTGAGCCTGCGGCTGGCGCTGGCGCGGAGCGGCGTCGAACGTGGTGAGTGAGGAGGGCGGCGGGCTGGGCTCCAGCTCGGGCGGCGCCCCTACCCCCTGCTGCCTGCGCGGGGCAGTCTCTTTCCCTCCCGCGGCCGCGGGGTAGAGACGGCCGTAGGGCACCCCACCCACCTGCGGTGCCTCAGGCGGCTAGGCGGGCGCCAGATGTTGGGGAGGGGGCTCTGGAAAGGAAGGGGGTGGTGTCTGTCGGGGAGGAGGTCCCTGCCTCAGTTTCCTTCTCCTTGGGATGACGCTTAGTAGAGGGATGGGATGGTAAGAGGGCTAGAGTCGCCCCACCGGATTGGAGGATACAGAGGCCGCAAGGCACAGATCAGAACCGAGACACCCCAGCTCCTGTCTGCCCTTGGCCCAGCGGTGGAAAGGGTCCTTTTGCCCCCTGGGGTGCCGGGAGCAAGGGGAAGGCCTTGGAGGGGCTGGTGGGCCCTCAAGCTGCTCCAGCAGGTAACCTGCTTCCTGGGTCCAGATGGAGTAGAGGATGGGTCCAGAGGAGGGGTGACATCATCATCTGTAAGTGGGGTCACGACTCCAGCCTGGCCATATGGGCTGTGGGAGGGGCTGTGATCATGCTCTGTCCCTCTCATCTATCCATCTCAGCTCCCAGTCTCCGCAGGGGCTTTGTGCCCCACCCCCCCAACAACTAGTTGCTTTACCTGGAGGCTGGGCTGTGGGCCTGAAGCCAAGCCTGAGCAAACAACCCCCCTGTGACCCAGGCCTGTCCATTCACACTCCTGGGTGCTGGGCCAGGACCCTTGACTCCAGCCTGCACAGAGTCTGCTGAGCAAAGGGAGGGTGGAGGGGCTTAGAGGGGTTGGCTCTCCTTTACACATGAGACTTGAGCCCAGAGAGCACCCCAGGTATATGACCAGGGTGCAGAGTTAGAACCCACTGAGACTGTGGGCCACTGTGGCTCAGGACCCCTCTCCCCCTTCCCCCAGGGCTGCCACCTTCAGGACCTTTGGGCGTGGGGCTGAGCAGGCTTTCAGGGCCCACTTGGGTAAGGGTAAGCTCCAGCTTAGGGAAAGCTCAGGCCCTGGGGGTTCTGCCCTGGGTGTGGGGCTGTCTGGGGGCCACCACCTGGGGCTGAACCCTCCCCTCTCCCCCAGGCCCCCCAGCATCGGCCCCCCAGGGGGACCTGCTGTTTCTGTTGGACAGCTCGGCCAGCGTGTCTCATTATGAGTTCTCCCGAGTTCGGGAGTTTGTGGGGCAGCTGGTGGGCCTGCTGCCCCTGGGTCCTGGGGCTCTGCGTGCCAGCCTGGTGCATGTGGGCAGCCGCCCGCACACCGAGTTCCCCTTCGGCCAGCACAGCTCAGGCGAGGCTGTCCGGGACGCCGTACATGCTGCAGCCCAGCGCATGGGTGACACCAACGCTGGCCTGGCGCTGGCTTACGCCAAGGAGCAGCTGTTTGCGGAGGTGGCGGGGGCCCGGCCAGGGGTGCCCAAGGTGCTGGTGTGGGTGACAGACGGCGGCTCCAGCGACCCCGTGGGACCCCCCATGCAGGAGCTGAAGGCCCGGGGTGTCACTGTCTTCATCGTCAGTACTGGCCAGGGCAACCTCCTGGAGCTGTCTGCTGCCGCCTCGGCCCCCGCGGAGAAGCACCTACACTTTGTGGATGTGGACGACCTGCACATCATTGCCCAGGAGCTGAGGGGATCCATTCTGGGTAGGTGGGAAGAGGCAGGGCCTGGGGGGACCCCAGCAAGGAACCTCGGCAGAGGTGCGGGAGAGGTACTCGAGGGCCTGTGGCAGGGGCCAGGGCTCCGGGGCCAGTGGCGCTTCGTGGGGGTCCGGCAGGGAGGCAACGCACATGGCTGCCCTGTGCATCCTCCAGGGACGCGCTCCGGCTGTGTGCTCTGTAGGCCCCACTGCCTGGGCTGTAGTGGACAGAGGGCCAGGCCTGAGTGAACATCTCCAGGTGGGGTTCTCTGCTGACGGCACCCCCCCAGAGTGGAGGGCCTGGAGTGGGCCGCGAGACCAAGGGGCTGCCTCGGGTGGGATGTGGTTAAATGGAGAGGAAGAGGGGGAGGGTCCAAGCCCGAGGACTCTGCAGATGGACAGCACAGGCTCCTGTATGTGTGTCAGGTGCTGCCATGCCTGGGGGGGGAGAGAGCCAGGTCGGGATGGGCTAGGATTGCCTCCCACAGCGCTCGGGCCCTACCACCCTAGGGGTAGAGACAGTCAGAGGAGTGGGAGTGGGTTTGCACCAGTGGTGTTTTTGGGAATTGCTAGAGGAGGCTGGACCAGGGAGGGCCCACTGCAGGGGCTAGCAGCCCCCCACCAACTTTCTTACAGACCACCCCCGCACCCCCCATCCCCAGCCAAACCTCGCGGTGGGAGGGGCTGGAGATGAAGGGCCTGATTACCGGCTCAGCCGGCTCTATTCACTGAAAAATGCCACTAACCCCAGGGTTCTTCCTGAATTCTGCCTGTGGGTTAATCATCCACCCAAAACCGGAAGGGGTTGGACTGTGGATTGCAGAAAGGTAGAGGGTCCTTCCAAAGGTTTCCCCCAGGGACGCCTGGCCCCTGGTGGCCCCTGAGTCAACCACTGTGGCTGAGCCTGGAGGGGACAGCAGGAGGAAGGGCAGCAGCTGGACAGGAAGAACCCAAGGCTGCAGGGCAGTGAGGCAGTAGGGTGGGGGCTCCTGGGATAGGGGTGGGGTGGGGTCTGAATATGGGGGATGCGTAGGAGAATGAGTGCCAGGCTGACAGCTGGAGCACCCAGCATTCAATAAGGAAGCATCAAGATCCCGATGGGCATAACGCTGCCCAGACATTTATCAACCTTACCTACTTGCGTGGTCACTCACATGGCCATGTGGTGTCATGGGCTCAGGAGTAATGCACACTTGGGGGTCCCACTCTGGAGCCCTCCTCCTAGAAACCTGAGGCAGGTGGTACTGTGACCCCACATCCAGCTACTCCTGGAGTTGCCCCGTCATCACTCCCCAGGGTGTCCCCCCACCCAGAGCCTCCCATCTTCTGGCTGCACTGGTGCCCCTTTGCCTTGACTGTCCAGAGCTGAGCTGACCCCACACTCTGTGCGGGCCACTCGGGCTAGGGAGGGTGGCTGGTCCTCTGTTCTCAGACACCACCTTTGAGGGGCCACTGGAGTGGTGGGAAGTGGCCATTATAGCTCCTCACCTGTCTGGGTTTGCAGCTGAGGCAGGCAAGGAAGCACCTGATGGAGTCCCAAGTGGGCGACTGCACTCTTTTCCTAACCCCAGCCCTGTCACCGGTTCGTGTTATCATTAGCACTGCTGGGGCGGCGGAGCCTGGGCTGTTCCCCACGTCTCCCTGCCCCGTCAGTCAGGGCCCCAGGCTGGGCGAGAGGAGACCTGACCCCCTGCACCACCCGCAGACGCGATGCGGCCACAGCAACTCCGTGCCTCTGAGGTCACGTCCAGCGGCTTCCGCCTGGCCTGGCCGCCCCTGCTGACCGCAGACTCTGGCTACTACGTGTTGGAGCTGACGCCCAGCGCCGAGCCAGGGACCGTGCGTCGCCAGCAGCTGCCGGGGAACGCCACGGGCTGGGCCTGGGTCAACCTCGACCCTGACACCGACTACGAGGTGGCGCTGGTGCCCGAGTCCAACGTTCACCTCGTGAGGCCGCAGCACCTGCGGGTGCACACGCTGCCGGGTGAGCGGGGCGCGGAGGGCGGGCTGGGC